AGAGAGAGAGATAGAGGGAGAGAAAAAATGAAAGAATTTAGAGATACAATGAGGTATACATTTTTGGAGGGAGAGAAAAGGGAAAGAGGAAGTGGGGGGAGGGAGGGAGAGAGGGAGAGAATTAAAAGAAGCGACGAGCACACGAGAAGTGACCAAATGTGAATTCAATAATTTGTTATAGTGGGATAGAAATGAAATGAAATGAAATGAAAAAAGAAATGTCCTAAATTTCAACGATTGTAAGAAGCATCAGAAAAGCAAAGCAGAGTAAGGAAAAAAAGAAATTTGAAAATAACCAAACAGAATTTATGGTAAATTATTACTGTTGTGGATAGGGTTACTGAAAAAAAAACAGAAATAAAAAAAAAATTAATATGGTATGGGACTTTGTTGTTGTTCTTCTCCTTCTTGATGTTCGATTCATTTTTTGCTTCAAAAAAACATTAATTTTCCCTTGATAACCTTAATGAATAAAAAAATCTCGGGAAATTTATGGGATAATAGAAGGTCATTTCTTCTCAATTCATCTTTCTTCTTCATTCCTGTAAATTATATCTCGGGAAATGAAAGTGTTACCATCATCATCATCATCATCACTATCATCATCATCATCATCATTATCATCATCACTATCATCATCACTATCATCATCATCATTAACATCATCATCGTTATTACCATCGTTATCATCACCACCGTCATCATCATCATCATCATCGTCATCGTCATCATCACCAATCACAATCATCATCGTCACCGTCATCATCGTCATCATCATCATTATCATCATCAATCATCATCATCATCATCATCATAGGTCTCGGTTTCAGTCTTATGGGCGTTTGAGTCGCTATCATTCTCGTCATTGTTATTATTGCTGTTGTCATTATCTTTATTTGGGACGAGGACGGGAACGGAGACGGGGTCAGGAAGGATAGGTCGGGAAGTGTGGACGAAAAGGGAAAGATCAATCTAACGCCTATATATAATATGTAAATACAACAACAATGACCTCTTTACTTAAACCCTTTTATATTCTTTTCTTAACTATCCATAATCTCTGAATGTATTTTATTTATTATTTTCCTTTTTCCTTTTTTCTTTTAATTTTTCCCCTGATCTTTTTTCACTTCTCCTCATTTTTATTATTTACCTTTATTTCCATAATAAGAATATTAAAATTTAAAATTCTCTTTCTTTTAAAATACATATTCATTCATTCAAATAACTTTTTACTTACTAATAATTCATTCACTGTATTCTTTGGCTCATTATCTATTCGTTTTAATTCTTAACGAAACATGTAGCATCTCAGTCTGTTATCGTCTAAATTCCTCTTCAAATACTGTAATTGACCCATACACCTTTTATGAAAGATGAAAG